CACCTACCCTTATTTTGACAGCTGAAATAGATCAACATGCCCCAGAAGCAAATCAATGCACCAATGCAAAAGTGCCTACTTACATTCTGTTGTCTGATTTTCGCCCAAATTCAGCCGGACTCTGCTCTATTTTGGAAACTATCCAGTCCAGCGGAGGTCAACGACACGGAAATCCTCTCTTGGTTGGCCCAAATTTTCACCCATTTAGTTAACATAATAACTGAAACCGCGGGTCAAGTCCATCGTACCACCGAACTCGAGCGAAAACACCCTTCTTCACGGGCTGCAACCCTCTCGCCAAGGCCTACTGTCTACCACTATGAACGTATGAACATACGGCGAAGTCTACCGATCGAACATTTGCTTTCGCGCTGAAACCGAATGAATGTATTTTCCGAGTCATTTTGAGCAGTTGCTGTTATCTCGATACGAGATTGTTTTGTAAAACATAAATGTAATGACAATCAAAGACCGCAGACCAGAAACGTGATGCGACGTAAACGCAGCGAGACAGCAACTCAGTGTGATGACGTCACGCGCGTCGAATGTCAGTCGCGGCAGCGCGGTGAGGCGGTAGGCCTGTTGTGGCTGTATGAGGGATGAAGACAGGTCCGGACTGGATCGTTTTGTCGATATAGGCCTATCAACAGGATTGGAAAACATATTGTCATAAAATTTACAGGCATTCGCTTGGGTGGTTTATGAAGAACGGTGGATAGATTAAGAGAGGAAACTGCCCCAAGGTAGACCCCTTACGGCTACGGTATTACGTAGCTGGGAAAGTGACATTGTCGGATTTTTTTGACTTTATGTAGGTTTTTTATGACATTATCTAGGTTTTCATACAAGATGTCAACTACCAACTAGTTATCGTTCACTTCATTCTCACTTGTAGCAGGAGCGGAATGAACTATTTGTACCCTACCAGCTATCAAGTCAACAAGTTGACACATTATCGGTTTTTTTATTGCATTTTATAGGTTTTTACTTAATAACCCTGCCGTCAGGCGAACCCCCGCACGGCTATTATGTAAAAAAACGAAAAAATGTCAGAAAACGACAATATGTCATCTTGCAGACTATTAGTTTTTAGTGTGCAAATACTAGTTAATTCCACGTTTGCGTGCCATGATCGCTGTTCGCTGACGTACAACACGTACAACAGCTACAAACCTAGTCCACAACAAGTGCAAAACAGCTTATGCTAAGTTAACATCTTGTACAAAAACCTACGAAATGTCAAAAGAACGGACGGAATGTCGCCTTTTAAGATACGTAATATATGTTCCTAAATGCGAGGAGAATAGGTTCATGAAATTGGTACATTACCCATGACCCCTCATTCAAACGACAATATATGAACGAGATGTATCAAATCTTGCCTTCTCAAAGACCAAATGTAGATTCTTGCGCCAAAGCTGTGCATTTCTAGAATACTTCCACACTCTGTATCTGCTTAGGTTTTGCCTTGGAGGTTACGCTTCTATCAATCTTTGGAATACAGATCAAATTCAATTGGCTGATTTATTCAGTGGGAAAGACAGGTTGCTCAAATAATTCATTTTTAAAGTAAAAAGTTCATACAGGATACCTAAGTACATTGTTTCCAAAGGAAAAAAAATACTAAAGGTTTTCCAAATTTCTGTATTTCAAGTTTACAATTATTATAAAACTGACGTTTTGTACAGTGTTAAGGTCATCTGCCACGATACGAAATTTTGTGCTAAATTACGTACAAAATTAAGGTTAGTGTCAGACAGCATTTAGTAAATAATTTTGTATGAACAAATTTAGTGCTAAATTTTGTAGAAATTATTCAAATGATATCATACTAAAAGTGCGGAGACAACTACTGCACATTTGGAACAGTACAATGGCTGATATAACCTCAAACAGTTTCATTATACCCTATTTGACGAGTAACCATCACGGTAGAATGACATCAGGTTATATAGTAATATCTCAAAATTCCCCATATTGGCACAGGACACATAATTCTGACGGATCCGTCAACGCCAGGTAGTCAGAGCCGTATTTTGTTTTGGTTTTTTAACAACTCTTTTATTCAGAAAAGTCCATTGGTATACAAAAACAAAACACCACAAGCAAGTTTTGCTAGATTTGTACCCGATTCATTATTGCCAACGTTCCAGAGTAACACAAAAGCGTCACTTGCTGATCAGCAGTTCGTCAAAGCGCGATGAATACTCGTGAAATATGGTATAGTTGATGTTATCAGTTGTGTTCATCAGTTTAGCGAAGCTCCCCTGCATATGCTGTTCCACTTATAGATTGAAAACTTAAATGATGTCATGATCAATTGTATGCTGTAAAAGGCAAAGCCTATAAAAACAGAAAAGCCAAATAAGCTGCGTTGGATAGAGTCAGAATGACTTAAAAGCCAATTAGGCTGCTGTACTAGAAGTTCTTTATTCAGCATGTGGAGCTCACACATGCGCTGGTCCCTCTCCCTGATCCATTTTGGGCACCAAATTATTTTACGGTTTCGTTTACTTCGTTTTTTCATGAGGTGGGCAGCTACAACCCCGATGCGAATTACAGGATCGCTCCGTTTTCTACAGTTTTCTATTCGTTTAAAAATAAAGGAATAAAGTAGCAACCGCAAAGGAAAGTGTGGTTAGAATGACTTTGACGTGATAAATGGCAGTTAGAAGTTGACAGTTATAGTTTTTTTCCACCAACTGCGCATGATTTCGTACGAAATTTAGTACAAAGATTTCTTTACATGTCAGATAGGATTGTAATTTGTAAACAAATTGGGAACTAAATTAACAACAAATTTTCCCACAAAATTTGGTACTAAATTTAGCACAAATTTCATATCGTGACAGACGGCCTTTAGTCTTGTTGATCTTTTTAAAGCAACGAAAACTTTAATTGAAGAATAAACGCCAAATCTTAAGGTAAAGTATATAAACGAACATTGGTTCTGGAATCCAGAAAAGAATATGTTTTTTTAGAATTCTATCCTCTTTATTTTCCAAAAAATATCCTGGTGATGCACTTACGGTGCATAAAAAAATTAAATAGGCCCCACACATGATCTTATCAGTTATCTTTTATTTAAACTTGAATCAAAACAAATCTTCACAGTCAAGATGTTAATTGCTTAACACATGTGCCGACTCGTACGGTCTCTTATCAGACAATAACTATAAGTACCAGCTGTAACAGTAATTATCAGATTAGGATAAAAAATTTCCTTAGAATTAAAAAATACTTGATAATTGTAATAACATTATTATAGAACGATCAAAGATAGATGTATCTAAATATTCACAAACATATTATCATAATAAATAATAGAAGGTATATGGCATAATATATTGAAGGTATCAAATAAAATGCTTTTAAAATTACAATTTCTTTACACTTAAGAGTGTCTTACAGAATATATATTACATTTCTCGAAAGCAGTGATATATTAAGATGAGTTTTGGTATACATAAATTGTAGCATTAATACATTGGAGCTAATGTTGACTTTGATTCATCATTCACATATTGGGATTTGACTATGTTGGCCCAATATGTGAATGCGACATAACGAAAAACTCCAACAGACACTTTCTCAGCAGAATATTATGGCTTTAACAAAATAGAACTCAATTTTTCAAAAACCGATAGTGTGCAATTGTTGGCTAAACATAAAGCTTAAGTACCCGATATCGGGGTAACGGGAAAACGTCAAACCTATCTATACATGAAACTTATTTAATATTTAGGTCCACTGTCTAAATCTACCATCAGTCTGTCGTAATAGCTTTTGTAACAGCATATTAACCATTGTCCCATTAGTCTAAAATTACAAAAATGTAATTGGTATAGAATAAACTTTATTTTTAACAAAATAACAACCGATCAATGTAGAATTTAGAATTACATTTTTCGAAAGAAAAAAGAAAAGAACAATAATCTTCACTGAAAATGTACATGTGTTACTTTTAAAAAATACAACTTAGTTCGCTGGCACTTTTGTGAGTCATTCTGTAAATAGAAAAGGTACCGCGTAAAAACTGTTGTACTAGACTTATATATAACTTTCTCTTTTGAAAGGTTAAGCTAAAAAGTTGAGTGGGGGTCAATTTTAAGCAGAACACCCTGTATATATTAATAGGTGCGTAGAATTAGCGGGGTTGGAAGCATATGAGTATACCAGCGACAAAAATTGAGATACACTCTTTTCCACCCCTACAACCCTAACCCCCAATGTTTAACCTCTACAGATAATTTTTCGAAAATGATCGGAAGCTGTAATGTTAAAAAACCAAGTTTGAGCGTTTTTTTTTGTATTTTTGGCACTGGCTCTGCCGCCACTGCACCGATTTTAAAAAATTACAAAGCTTTTGCGACTTTGCCATAATAGTAACCTGGTGTGCAAATTCCATCTAAATCTAAAGGATTTGCAGACAGACCGACGGAAATGAGTGACATGATTTTGTGTGAAGTACATGTCATATAACATCTAAAAAACATAATATCTCATTTTCGAAATATTTTGCAATTACACTATACTTCCTCGTCCCTCGATGCTTTTGATTATCTTATTTTCATTAATTAACGTCAACAAAAAACGCTTATCACTATAAAGAAAACTTCTAAGATTTCTTGCAATGAAATAAAAGCAACTATAACGGACCATAACTATAACGGAATATACTACCTCAGGTAGAACACGTTAATCAATGTAACATCTGAAACTTATCATGTGGTTTTTAATGTTGATAATTCCCCATGTTTGTCTGGCCAATCAAACCACATATTTTTTTAAAATGCTTCTTCATTGTATATGTTTCGGTCACAACGATGATCTTCTTCAGAAAGGGGATTCACGTTAGCCAATGATATAAGTAAGTGTTGTCACATTTTAAATTAATCCTCTATCGGTTCATCCTTACCACCAAATTTCACCACAGTATAAATGATAATTGAACATACGACACACTAGCAATATGTAAACCTAAGCAAAACTCCACCATACCAACTCAAACTTCCTTCTTTGGCTCCCCATTATCTACAATCTTCTTCACAGGCGATTCTGGTGGTTTCTCCTTCTCTTCAACCAACTCATTTTTCTTATTCTCGTTCTCTTCAACGGCTCTGACGTTAGCTCTCCTTTGAGCTCTATCCTCACTCCGTTTCTTCATGTACTGCGGCAGCCAAAAACAAGCGAGAACCAGTTTGATCAGAACGTAAGCCAAGAAAATTAAGGCTAGGTATGAACATGAGGAGATGATCATTTTCCAAACGTCTACGCCCACTTTCTGGGTTCTCATTTTAGAGGTTTTGAAGTGGACGTTTTGGGAACGAAGGGTTATAGGAAGATGCATCGGAAGTAACAGACGGAAGTGTCTATAGCTATGGGAACGTCTTTCACAACATTGTCTGTGGTATTGAGTGAGCCGATACATAGTCCAGTTCATGTATATCGAAATTATAAAAAAAGATCAAAAGGACTAAGTAAATTACTATTATGTATGTATCGAAAAAAGAGACTAAACCCAAACAGTGATCATCGCGTGATCATTGCGTGATCAGCACAACGATATATTTCAAGAGACGGAGCATATAACTGTTATTTGGCAGAATAGGTCGAGCCCTTACACAGAACCAATAGCAAAACGGAGGGTGGAGATCTAATCATTCACTGGTCGAACCAAAATAGTATCCGCCAAGAAAAAAAATCAACGATGCCATAAAGGACTTAGACAGAACCGCCATAAGGAGAATTGTACACAATTTTTTCTTTCGTAAAGAATCACCAACGATGCATATAGTGATGAAGCTGGTTAACGAGGATAATGACTTGCCAAGTTTCAAGAGACCTACATTCTATATATTATTAAAAGAAATGGGGTTTCAATATAAAAAGCGGGGAAGAAAATATGTTAATTCCAGTTTGGACCCTGCCTGCGATAATTTTGTATATTTTTTTATCGTGTTATAAAACCACATATCATTTATTCTTAGGACGGCCCTGTAACGTGCTCGGCGTTCTGGAGCGCGATCACGTGGAGTATACGTGAATATGTTTAGGTTTAGCCTTTTCCTTCGATGCATACATAATAATACAAGAAATCGCCATTATTGACCGCAATGTCTTATTGAGAAGTACCATTCCTCTCATTACGTAAATTTGGTTTGTTCAAGCAAAATGTTCAGTTCCGATTCAAAACAATATATTTTTTTCACGGAACACCGAGTGACATATGATTCGAACAAGAACTACATATACCCTGTTTAAGAGTATCCATCGCGGTAGAGTGTAGTAGTAGTAATATCTCAAAATTCCCCATATCGGCACAGGACACATAATTCTGACTGATCTGTCAACGCCAGGTAGACAGAGCTGTATTTTGTTTTGTTTTTTTGTACGCTACAGATTCACTTTGTACTTGCTAACTGCGCTTTAATTTAGAAAAGTCCATTTGCATACAAAAAACAAAGCGCCACAACTAGATTTATGCTCGATTCATTATTGACAACGTTGCAGACTAACACAAAAATGTCACTTGCTGATCAGCTGTTCTCCTCAGTAGACGTCAAAGCGTGATGGATACTCGTGAAATAGGGTATAGTATCGACCTTACTGGAACGATTGTCCTAGTTCTGTGTAGATTTAGGAGTTCCTTGATGGTACGTTATAATAAAATCCCCTTATGGATCTTTTTTATACCAATGGCGAAGCTGCTGCATAGGTAGAATCCTAAATACCGGGGCGGCACTGCGATCCCTATAAGGAGGTTAAAACACCTATCTAATCCGATTTTTGAACTACCCAAGAAATGGAAAAGCCTCCTGCTCAGACAGGTTGTTCCACAAATTCGACACATAAGGAACAAGGTCGTACTGGCCAGTTATAGATTACACAATTCTACAGAAGCTGGGCGTCAGAAGCCTGGCGGGCCCATCCGGCAGGAACAACGTGCGGCAGCGCCAAGGAAGCTATGAGGAACAAGTCCTGTTGCCATAGCGGTAGCATAGATAGCCTGATCGCCCACCTCTTGTCGAACACAATCTAGGATGGACAACCTATTAAGGGATCGGACTAAACTAGATTGATATAACCATACTATTGCGTTTTGATGATTGATTGTTAAGTTCAGTGTACAATAACTTGAAGGAAAGCAATACTACATTCTAGAGTTATAAAGTTTACTCACAAAGTCATATTTAAACCGTATTTCACGAGTATCACTCACGCTTTGGCGTCTACTGAGGTGAACAGTTGATCCGCAAGTTAGTGACATTTTTGTGTTAGTCTGCAATGTTGGCAATGTATGCAAATTAACTTTTCTAAATAAAAGGGCTGTTAGCAAGTACAAAATGAATCTGTAGGGCACAAAAAAACAAAACAAAATACGACTCTGACTACCTGACGTTGACGAATCCGTCGGAATTATGTCCTGTGGGGAATTTAGAGATATTACTTGTTAATCAGCTGACAGCCTTGCGTGATGGATACTGGTGCAATAGGGTGTAAGAAGCTTGGATAATGTAGTTCCCCACATTTATTTTCTTAAACTAACTATAGTATTTTTTACTTAGCCCTGAAGATCAAAAGGCACGCAATCTATATATATTTATGTTTCTGATATCTATTTCTTATTTACATGTCCCGGAAATCCAATGGCTTCGGGTTTCAGGGCCAGAATTTACAGAGCTAACTGCAAATTTTAAGTCGTATCACCGACAGAAAATTGCTTCAAGTACAGCACCTATCAGTAAACACATCAATAGCTTAAAATGTAAATTAAAACAGATTTTTTTCAGAAAAGCTTGGTCGACTGGGCTATGAAATCCGTACACTTGAATAAATCAAAGCAATCCTGATGGGTTTTTGTGGTTTTGTGCAGGACGATTTGATTTTTAATTTGCAGTTATTGGATCCTGAATACTCGAGTTAATATTATAGAATCCAAGGGATAGGTAATAGGTAGTCTTCTTGCATCTGCGTACATTCAATGTGTGATCCATTCCTCAAATGATAAATATCACGAATGGCAACCGAATATATTTGTATAGAATTTGAAAATGCGTCTTCTGTGATCATTACACTTCCAGGGAAATAAAAAACTGATAAAAAAGGTCTCCACAACCGGGAACACAGGAGTTCCTATCTCTGTTGTTAAGCTATTCATTGATTTTATGGAAGTGGTATATGTTTGATGCTGGGATACTCGCCCAGGCCACTCACCATACGAGCTCTTGTATGGCGGGTTGCCTCATACCGACATTCCAGTGATTATTTGAAGGTATGTCGGTATGTATTAGGGTGTCTCAAAACAATGAAAGTTCTTTTTTCAAACGCTTGCCCATCTAGTTTTCTCCGTTTGACTCTAACAGCTCAAAAAAAAAAAATTATTGCGATCGAGGAACGATAACCCGTGCCACTTCTCAAGCTTTCTTTTTACAGTCATATAATTATGTAAGAAGTGTTTGAGCAACGTCGAAAAGAGTTTGTTATGAACTTGGACAATCCGTTTGATATTGCGGATAATGATCCCCCTTGAAAATAAATGAAGATATCTTCTTGCAGCGGCAGAGAGCGCCAGGTCGACCTGGTCATACATGGTGTGTCCGGAAAGTAATGAGCTTCATTTATTTGTGACGCAGCTTGGCAACGTAGCGCAATGCGACCAGTTGGGATGGGTGGGGGGAACCTTCAGCTTTACAGTGGTACACTTGCCAGTTACCTCCGACCTCTTGGAGAGTGTGTACGCTGATTTTTGTTAGCCCTTGTTTTGCGACATCGTCGAAGTTACGATGGAAAAAACTTTAGAGCAAAGATACGCGATAAAGTTTTGTGTGAAACTAAACAAAACACCGAAGGAGACATTGGATTTGCTTCAAACAGCGTTTGGGGATGCCTGCCTGTCATATTCACAAATAAAAAAGTGGCACAAGTCGTTCCGGGAAGGGCGAGAGGAGGTCGATGACGAAATGCGTTCAGGACGTCCATCGACATCACGAACAGATGACAATGTGACCCGTGTGCGAGAAATTCTCAGCACAGACCGTCGACTGAGTGTCCGCTTGATTGCTGACCTTTTGCACTTGCCAAAGACCACTGTTCACGAAATTGTGTCGGAAGACTTAGCCATGCGCAAAATTTGTACAAAACTTGTGCCCAGAGTTTTGACCGACGTTCAAAAACTCCATCGTGTCGCTGTGTGTGAGGAACTGAAACAGTTGTGTGCGGATGATCCAAATTTCCTAGACAATGTAATAACGGGAGATGAGACATGGATTTTCGAGTACGACCCAGAGACAAAGCGGCAGAGCGCAGAATGGCACACGTCCGCGTCGCCACGCCCGAAGAAAGCTCGAATGAGCAAGTCCAAGATCAAATCCATGGCCATTGTCTTCTTCGATGCTAAGGGAATCGTGCACCACGAGTTTGTACTCCCTGGCCAGACCGTCAATGCTCAATTTTACAAAGAAGTTCTTCAAAGACTGAAACACAGGGTTGCCCGCGTTCGAAGAGAAATTCGGTCTTCATGGAAACTCCACCACGACAATGCACCGTCCCATACCGCCTTTGTTACCGTCGCCTACTTGACTCGGATAGGTGTCACGACGGTGCCCCAGCCACCGTACAGTCCCGATCTGGCTCCAGCGGAATTCTTTTTGTTTCCTCGACTAAAAAGGGGCCTCAAGGGACAGCATCTGGACACCCTAGAGAACATTGAAGCTACTTCGACGGCGTCCCTGAACAGCATCTCAGTCGAGGAGTTCCAGGGAGCATACGCGGCTTGGAAATCACGCTGGCAAAAGTGTATCGATGCAGGAGGGTGCTACTTCGAAGAATATTGAGTTTATTTACTCAAATGATCAATAAATGATGAAATAAAAAATAGAGCTCATTACTTTCCGGACAAACCTTGTATAGTTGGGGTGGACAAGAAATTAGCCATAAAAGAAGGAAAGGAGCGTCTTAGAAACACCGAAGAAAAAAGCGGGCAGCTAAATATGTTGCTTCCTTAACTCCTTCGGCATCATCTTACGAAACAGTGCAAGAAAACTCATCTTCAGATTCCAAGATAGATTTACAAGAAACTTTACCCATCCCAACTCGGAGCACACAGCCTGATAGATACTAATCAAACGCAAATGAGGAAAAGTTTCTAACTCCAACATTAGTGGCAGCAATAGGTAGGTGTCAGTTAAGTATGAGAAATGCTGTTTTTATTATTGAAGCAACATAAAACATCGACGAGTTTCCTATAACCAAGTCCTCCGTTCAAAGAATTCGTACAGAAAAGCGAAAGAAGCGCTTAGAAGCCATAAAGCTTCATTTTTAAAGCGTGATACCGGATACTGTAACTGTCCACTGAGATGGCAAATTGTTGCTACCTCTAAGTGCACGCAAGTCTAAAGAAGAACGTCTACCTATTGTTATATATAACGTATAAAACTAAAGAGCAACTTATCGCTGTGCCGAAATTGCATAATTCTTCAGGCAGCGAGCATGCTTAGGCAGTTTGGGATGCTATATTGATGCCTGCGTGCTTCTTGAACAGAAACTTAATGAAAAATGCTTATTTTTGTTTGCCGCCATCACCTCTACGACTTGGTGTTAAAAGGCGTGTTTGAATCAAAGTGAATACAAGCACTGACATTCCAACGTTTAAAAAGTTTCGCGTCAGCTGGAAAAGTGTGTAGCCCGAGAAAATACAAATTTATACTGAAAAGCTATCATGCCTGAATATTTCCGAGACTGACAAGCTGCTAGAATTTTATCGACATGAATTGACTAAAGAAGTTGCTAGAGACGACTATCGAGAATTAATATAACTTTCAATAATATTCCTTGACGGAGATACAGAGAAGAAAATTTTGCTAGATCTATTATACCTCAGATAGAGGTTAGTTGCTATGCTTTCGTTCGTTGTCCTGACCTGAGGCCAAGCCTAGACGATGCTGACGAGTTGCCAAAAAGCGCAAAACATCTATCCATGGTTAACTGTCTGTGGTCGGACGGACATAAAGAGGATGCCGAGATCGGTTATCGTTTCCAGATCGCAATAATATTTATTTTTTGAGTTGTTAGAGTCAAACGGAAAAAAATAGAGGGTATGCGTATCTCAATTCGAACAAAAATTTGTTTGTCCTCATGGGCTGAGACACCCTAGTATACATACTTGTTCTCGTTCATCCTCCTCCTGTTGGAATTTCTCCAAAAACCTATCCAACTCATCCAAATCAGTTCCAAGTTCAAGAATCTTCCTTGTTTGTCTCTCTTCAAAGCTTTCATAGATGTCTTTTTCCCTTGATTCTTCGTCCTTTTGGAATTTTTCCAAAAAGGCATCTAAGTCGTCGTCCTTTTCATCGTCATCGCAGGTACCTTCCGTTTCTTCCACCTAGAAGTATTATAGTGAGCGATATAGCAATATTGAAGATAAGTACCAAAATGTGTTTTTGATTAGACTTAGATATTGCATTTTAGCAGTGGCGGATTTAGGGGAGAGGCGCGGGGGGCGCGCGCTTCCCCTAGACACAATCCACATCTCTTCCCGCGTATGTGTCTATTTATGTTTATTTATTTATTTATTTATTTATCCTGGAAGTAGACACCAAGATCCTTGCATGTGCTTTCTCTGCCTAGTTGTACATTTTCAATCGTGTATGTAAAATTTATGTAGGTATTGTTTTTTACGTGTAAATGTTAAAACATTGCATTTGTCGATATTTAACGACATCCTATTTTAGAGAAGCCAATTGGATACCAAATCTAAATCCTTCTGTAGTTCATGACAATCCTTAGGTGATGTTATGGGCTTAAATATTTTAAACTCATCAGCATAGAGGAGGAATTCTAAATTGTTTATGCAGCTGGGTAAGTCGTTAATGAAAATACAGAATAGCAAAGGACCAAGGTTACTACCTTGCGGCATCCCAGATGAAGCTATGTATTGGTTTGATACTGATCTGCCAACTTTTACCTGTTGTGGTCTCATGGTGAGATAAGATGTCATAAATTTACATGCATTTGAAGAAAAACCAGATCTACCTAGTTTAGCCACCAACAGGCCATGGTCAACCCTATCGAAAGCTTTGGCGCAATTTGTAAACACAACATCCAACTGTTGTTTATCATTTATAGCCTCAGCTGCTGCCTCTGTAAAGATGCTAAATTGGTAACAGTCGAGACACCTGGCAAGAAACCATGTTGTTGAAGAGCAAAGTTGCTTATACACGAGTTCAGGATATCTTGATACAATATGTTTTCAAAAATCTTTGCAGGAGCATTAAGAACAGTGATAGGTCTGTAATTGTTAACTAAACTGGCATACCCTGACTTGAATATTGGAGTTACAGATGCATTTTTAAATTTCTCTGGGAACATGTCGGTCCTTAAGGACAGATTAACAATTGTCATCAATGGGGCACTCAATATATCTGAACACCCTTTGTAAATATATGAAAGGATGTTATCATTACCAGTAGCTTTTTTTGGTTTTAACCTTCTGAAACTTGCTTAAACTCGCGCCTCGGTGACCTGGGAGAATGTGTAGTCACTATTTACCTACATATATCAAAATTTGGTTTCTCAGACTGTTGAAATACGGATCCAAAATACAATGCAAATGTATCGGATATCTCCTGGGAACCACTAATGGCACAACCCTCATACATAACCTCTGAAGGAATACCAGGCTTTACACGCTTAGACCTTACGAAGTCCCAAAAGCTGCTGGGGTCATTGTTGACATTTTGTTCAATTGTCTCATAATAGACCTGACATTCTTTTGCAGTTTGGTGCTTGATTGTAGTTCTTAAGCTACTGTAATTTTTTTTAACCTCTAAGCTAGCTTTACCGTTCTTAATTTGTCTGTGAAGACCATTTTTTAATTTAATGTTTTTCTTCTGTGCCAAGGAAAAGTAAGTTGGATAATTGCCACCATTATATGTGACTCTATTCACTGCTTTTTTGGGTATCGCTTGGTTTAATCATCCATAAAGCTTTTCATAGAATAAGTCAGTACATGTATTCACATCTTTAGCTTTCTGAAGATCTGACCAATCAACATCTTCTAACAGATTGTATAACTTATAAAAATCTCCTTTTGAGTAATCATAGATCATAGATATATCCAGGCTGACTGTAAACATTACTAGTTTTAGTTTTTAATAATACAGGTATAAACATGTTCAGGGCAGGATGGTACGGATCATCTTCACATTTTGCTATTTGAACTATAGAGATATTTGACAGTATAAGATCGAGTTACCTTTGTTAAGCACAGTATTAATCTGATTCAGATTGTATAAACTCGTAAGATTATTCTACAACATGGTATTTTCACAGCCTTGGGTTACGTAAAATGGTAGGTTAAAATCTCCTAAAATTATCACATCCTCATCCTTATCTAAAATGTTTTCAAATGAATTGAGGAATTGCACATATACCTACGTATGAGACTTTTCGTTTGGTGGAACATAAACTACAGATAGATAGAACATTTTCTTTTTAAAATTAATACTGACTAGCAAACTTTCAAGACTAGAGTCTTTTGGAATGGATGTTGTTATATCGAATTCGTTTAAATCACAGAGCTGGTCTAGGCAGCAGCGGTGGCCGCAGTAGTAGACTCTTCGGTCTCCTGATGAGTCGCCGTGCGCTGTGCGTCCCAGTAGAAATTTTTCTCTTGGCTATGGATGTTGTGATTGTCCGTAGGTGGTAGACGGTCTCTGACTGTCGAACGTGGAGGTACCACCCGGCGGATCTCGTAGGCGGAGCCAGAATGTGTGCATGTTGCATGCACACGTGTTCCCTCGCCATAGTCCGTGTGGCGTTCCCCCTTTCCCCTGTATCCCCCTATAGCCCCACGGTACCCAATGGGTGTTTAGGACTTAGGCCTTCGTGGTAGTTGGAGTATACAAAAAAAGAGCTTCCGTACTGCACTTGAATAAGTTCGACAACAAGAGTCTGAAGAATAACTGTAACATCTAAGAGTGTATTGAATTTCAAATAATAATTTATTATACCTATTGATATTTTTATCAAGTGCTGACATAATAGAAGTCAGTATTTGCACCAACTACTTGATTTGTTTAATGGGTAGTTCAGAGTCTTAATCCTTAAGCTTAGTACACACTATAGTAGATCCAGTTATACGGAATTTGTCTATAAGCAGTCTGCAAACGGTCTCAAAACACGATCTATGGATGGTATATAGACAGCCTCCTTTGTTTCGTCTGGCGTCCATACGATAATGTGAATTTTTCGCTCATGCTCGTTTTTTTTTCGGTTAACAAAGCAATGAAGTTTTTTATGTTTTAATCTTTAACATTATTAAACTAGTTAATTATAAATGCCAATTACTTATTTTGTTCTCAATAATAAAATATTGCGTTTCTAAGGATTTCTGAGCATTTTTCATGTTTTTTTTTTCAAGCTGGCATTGATCAGATAGAACACAATGGATTTAAGGAGCAATAATAGGATAAGTTCCACTAAGGATGAAAAATTACCAGCCCCACATATCGCGACCCCTAGACAAAAGTCTAAATTCGCCCTTGCATTTTGCATACAGAACAAAGTATCGCAACTAATAGGTATATATCGGTACACAGGTCCTATATTATTATTAGTGAAAAATTGTCCAAAACAACGAGGTACACCAGAAAAGAAGCCTACCTTGCCATGAAAAAACAATATAAGCGCACAAGCGTTTTGTCAAATATACGTCCTGTTATTTGATGAAAAACAGCATAAATTATGCGACTGCATTTAAATATTATCGTGCAAGCAATTTTAAAGTCAGGTGCAGCCGACTTTAGGGTAGAAAATCCCAGCATATTATATTGACACCGGACGCAGACCACACGCTGCTAATTTGTTCCGGAGGCAAGTTTTCATATTATTCAAGATGACCCAATAATCTCTAAAACTCGATCGTAGCGCCACCTACCTCCTTCTGCATTTTCTTCAACCCATCTTCAATGACGCTGAGGTTACTCTGGAACTGCCTCCGGCCCTTCGTGAAACTGGTCAAAAACCAAACGCAAACCAAAAAACACAACGTCAACCACACCCCAAAGCCTAACTTTAGGTTGTCAGTATTCGCCGCCTTTTCAGTCATTTCGATCACAAAGAAGTGCACTTTTGTTTGCTATGAGGTTTGTTTTATCCGTATGGTGGATGTACAGTACACATAGAAAACGTCGATATTTTGGTTTAAATTTTAATAGATTAATGGGAAGGGATGATTGAAGTGAATAAATTATTCAAATATGATAATGATTTCTTTACCGACTTGGCCTATATCAGATGACAAAAGGATGGAGTTTCGCTTTCGTTCATTGGAAACAGAAAATGTTTACGCTTCGCCTAGAATTATCAATTTTCATGACGATTTCCTCCTCTTGCAAAAAATTGCAATTTCAACAGCTGAAATGGATTATTAATATTATCTATTTTTCATGGATGATGCAGTTTATCCCCATTTTTTTCATTCATCTCTTGAAATAACCGTATTTGAAATTCGTATATTGAAAGAGGACCAATTACTTAAACCCTTTGTATTTCCTGCCCAAAGGATCAGCCAGTAGAATTTGACTTCCATTCCAGCAGGGGTATTATGTAAAAAAAACCTGAAAAACGTAAAAAAGCACGAAATGTCATCTTGCATACTAGGTAGTTTTTAGTGTGCAGATAGTTCATTCCACGTTTGCTCGCTATGATCACTGTTCGCTGACGTTTAAGCAGCACGTGCGAGTTCACAACAAGTGTACAACAGTTTATGCTAAGCTAACATCTTATGGAAAAACCTACGTTATGTTACAAAATGTCAATAAAACCCGACGAAATGTCACTTTTCAAGCTACGTAATAGCCGTGCGGATACCTATAAAACGTCACATTCCATACCAAACGGTCAACGTCAGAGAATAGAGACATTGGTTAATAGTATTCTACTTGAAGATGGCAGACTATGCTGTATTCCTGCATCCAAAAAGGATCTGAAAGATACTTGTGCCCTCTATGGGACAGTAGCAGGACTGTTTCGTAGATGGCACTAGGATCTTCAATATCTTATTTGGATTCTCAATTTTTAAACTTAAATCTCTGTGCATTTGGTCGCCATCTTGGAAAACTCAGTATTTTTTCAGAGTAAACTGTTCCTTCTTTTTTTCAGTAACTTGATAGCTAAAATCTATAATGAACACAGTGGTTCTCTTTGGACAATGACTTGATTTTTATGTTAAGGTGGCTACTGGTCACAAACAAAATATCTCTATCGTACATAATGGAATTTTATTTCTATGATTACATGGGTATGGGGTATCAGGCTAGGAATTGACCCCCCTACAAATTTTTTGCATGACCTTACAAAAAAGTTGTACACAAGTTATAGGCTCTAACATGGAATTCTTCATATATTATTTTGTAGAAAAGTACTATTGAATAAAGTTGTATCATTTTAAATGGAACATCCTGTATATTATAGGTGAGAATGATTTTCCGATCAAAAATATATATGGTTATTAACTTGTTTTCATTAGCTTGGCCAAAAACTTTAATTTTCGTGTGTCATTAACCCATGTGTATCCGAGTTAGAACCAGTTTACATCTAACAGCCTATGCAATCTGGTATAGTCAAAATACATAAGTTATAAAAATGAGTTTAACAAATCATGTATATTTGGAATTTAGAAAAAGGCACCATCATTTTCATAGAAAATATAGATGGTGTTCCATTTACAAAAATACTTTATCACTTTTCTGAAATATACAAACAAAATGCATGGAAAACTTTATATTAGAGCATATAACTTTTTCTTCTAGAAGGTCATTAGAAAGTTAAGGGGGTCAATGTATAGTGAAGCCTTGTGCATGTTAAATTAACCAATATAATAAATATTTTACAAAATTAAACCTAATCTTCACCAGCTGGCATAGCATCTTCTAACCGCCTGATAAACTTCACCCTAATCTCTGTGTTTTGGTCTCCTTTCAATTGATCCTGGAAAATATAAAAAATCAATAAACCAATGTTTCTTTCAAATTTTAATTGAAGAAATTTGGCAATTTGAATGGTATCCATCTCCTTCTCTCTCTCTCTCTCTTGTAACATATTGAAAAAAGAAGCATTGTTGTAGAGTGGTTTGCAGTTTAAAATCAAACATTTTTTAGAAACCCTTATCCATCTGCTTCAGAAAAACTTGTACCCCAAGTAAATTGAATACATAGATATTGACTCCAAGGTCAGTTTGATGCAACAATCCACAGGGTTTTCAGATTTATTTTCCTGAGAGAATTTTCAAAAAGCTCTGTATATATGTGAGTGATCTCAGCATAAACTTGTTTCCTTGATAAATCCTGTGTGTAGATTCAAATTATGATGTCAATTTGTTGCTGAAGCCTACTTTATGATTTTTTTATGTCATATTCTTATTCACCACCCCAAGATACCTAACAGTACCAAATATGATATACCTGTAATACAGCTAACAAAAATAAAAAATTGAAATGCAAAGGACATTTACAAGAATTACAGAACAACCACTAGCTTAAGCAGTCCTTTAATTCATATACTTTGTACGAGTATTTTTGATCAGAGTTATTTTTCTGTTTCATTATAACCTATCTCTTCTTCTTTTTACAACTGAATCGGCAGTACTTATTCTGTTGCATTGTCTCTTAAACCATCTATTTGCACATTTTTTTTGTCTGTTTAAGTATAACTAAAGTTGCTTTTGTACTGGCTTTGATGGTTTTATAGCAGATGCCTAATCTCGCCCCATGTAATGAAACATGTTTTGGTCAATAAAGACGATTATTATTATTATTATTATTACTATCCTTATTATTGCAAGAGCCTATTCGTGATTGTGATGAAAATATTTTTGTAGTTTTACCTGAACTATCCAACTTTGAACTTCAAGCTGGACCATCTCCAATGCCCCTCTTATAGCCCCACAGATCAAATTACAATACTTCAAGTTCTTCAGATCCTCAGGAATCTCCACTAAATCCGTCAGAGGATTGGTATCCAGAATAAAAGAAAACTCATCTCCCGCAGCACTCCAATTTGCAACATTTGGCTGCACCCCCAGATACATTTTAAAGGCAGTCTGTATCTTATCTGCAGTGTCTTTCAAGTCTAAACATCGCCCAGAACCAGTCTTTGCAAGAAAGTCTTCAATAAGCCTTATACCCATATTGTAACCTAGTCTTTCTAGTTGCTTATTTACATCTTCTGTTGTGTCCATATCTTTGATCATCTGAGCGACAAGGGCCCCATATGTAAGAGTTACAAGCTCTGAATTCTGCAAGGGTAAAAATATTGATGTAAAATTATAGATTACATGAGTTTTATTAGGAACTTACCACTTTCTTCATATCGAACTTAGTCGAAGACCGTGACATTTTTGTATTCAGTGATAAAATGGTGGTGCATTAGCTCTTGAGGAATTGAATAAATATTCCGGATTATCGGAATTTACGATTTGTTGTGGAAAGTGGATCACAAAGTTGTGACAAATACGTCAATGTCAACAACGATTTCCTTATGATTTATTATGTTGGATAGTTGGATCTACGCAACTCACTATACATGCGTGAGTATTCTGTGTTGCCTATACAAAATGTAAGATGTATGATGAAGGTTGAACTTTAAAAACTCAAATTGAAATGCATGAAAGGGAATTAACGTTCTTTATTTCCATGAAAATGTTTTTCTACAACTCGAACATAAAAAAAATAGAAGAGCCGCACGTTGAATTTTTCTCCCACTTCCTGCCACCTGTTTTCTTTGTACCTGTGTTACGCGTTTCACGTTTTACCTGTCCGCCGCTAATGGTCCGTCGAGTCACCTGAAATATGGTACACCGAAGTCACGCCCCCACTTATCAGTTATCGTTTTCATTTTTTACGTGTAGCTCGCTGAAGTGAAATCGCTAGCAATAACATCCGTCCATACGCTTTACAAAATGTTTTTATAAATCTAACGCAATATTTCATAAAATGAGTGAACAGTCGAACGGCGGTCCAACGGTCGAGGCAGGCCATGGAAACATCGGAAATGGGGCCCCGGTGGCCCCACAACCTGCTTTGACTGCCAGGACGTGGGTGAAATTCGAAGAGGAGCCCCCCGCAGGCGGTGGGGCCGAGAAAAAACGATGCCCCCGCGGTCCTTGCAGCTGAAAGTGTACAGGTGAATCTAGAACGGAGCCTAAATAGGTCCATTGAGGCCCACCGACAAATAATGTTGCTGTGCTGGACCCCAAAAGGCAGCTGAGGAATGTGGAATTGCCAGTTGCTACCGTCGAGCCCATCCGGCAAGGATTTTGTACGTATTTGGACAGCTTTTTAAAAATAAACAATATTCTTGTATGCATATATTTCTATATTTGCCGAGGGTGTAACATCTAAGTTTTAGATGGGGCATTGGAATTTAAAGATATAATAATAATTTTCAAGAATTTTATTTTTTACGGAAAAATAAGAAAAATAAGGTTTGCATCATAAATGTCTATAGAAGCATAAAACCAAAACAAAGGTCAGCTGCATCTTCACTTCATTATGATACAAATAAGGAACAAAGACAAGTCGTATTATTATTATTGTTGCCATCATGTACCTGCTATTTTTTTGCTCTATTTGAAAAGTATGCCTGTATTTCCTTAAGCTGTTTCAAAATTAAAAATTTACATGAATTTAGTTCAAAAATGTTATGGAGTTGGAAATAATGTGCATATAATGTTTCTATAACTGCAAGAGATATAGGTACACACATTTCTGTTAATTCTCCAAATTTCTTGACTCTGTATTATCTAATCCTCTAAATTTCATACATTTTTAAAATTCTCTAAATCATCTAAATTCACCAAATTAAATAAATTATCTAAATTCTCTAAAATATTTAAATTCTCCGAATTTGATTTCTCTATATTCTATGAAATGCCAACATTTTCCAAATCCTGTAAATTCTCTGCATTGCCTGAATTCCCTATATTCCTTAAATCTCTAAATTCTCCAAACTATCTAAGAATTGTTTATATTATCCAAAGTCTCAGATCTTACCAAATTCGCAGAACAGTCTCTTGAATTCAAAATTTTCGTCCCTACTGAGCGGTGCCGTGGCAAATGCTTTTTCAGGAAGTTGTTTTGTATCCAGTATACAAGTTCTTCCCGTTAAAGTGATTGTTCACGTGTTAAGGAGTTAAGGAATACGTCAGTACCGATTGCCGGGTGGCGGTACAAGTAGGCCAACGGGCCACTATTTGACATTATTAATACGCAAATAGAAGGTGGTAGACAAGGGCCAGTCGACGGAGGCGGTACCACCCGCTAGTTTTTCCCAGGGTGTCTTATAAATGTCCGCATGTTTCCACGCCTAAGCTACGCAGTCGTTTATCTTCCCCAACAAAGAAAATAATGCTGATCGATCCCTCGAGTACTAAGAATTCCGGACGTAAACCAACTCCAAATGTCCGGGTGGAGGGTGGAATCAAGGGAACAACATCGAAGATAACCTTTGTTTCACGAACATCTGCGGGATTAGCAGCAACATTGATGCTGTTCATCACTACTTGCAATCCAATCGGACCGACATTCTTTTCTTGGCGGAGACTAAAATCTCTGAGTCTGCACCGATTAACCATCGTAGCTTCCCAAATTACGAGGTGCACTTCAATCTGAGAAAGAACGGGGGAGTTGTGGCTTTTGTCCGCAGCAGTCTTTCATGCTCCAGAGATGTTTCTTTGGAATCAGACAAGGACATTCTGTAGCTTCGCCTCAACTCCAAAACATCCCCCAAAATTTATTTGCTGCCTTTATCGCTCTACCTCGGACCATAACTGGGATGACCTACTTGAATACCTCGCAGTCAAGATCACATGCCAGTAGCCTGCTGGATCTCTTTCTGACCCCGCATCCTGTCCTTTACAGCACTGCTGTCCTGGGTAACTCAGACCACGATGTTGTGGAGGTTATGTTTCGGACAGAACCCGCTGAGGTAGCAGAAACTCGCGAGGCCGCAAATTTGGCATTACGGACATACTGGGGGGGGGGGCTCGGAGACTTCTTCTCTACCTTCCTTGGAGCAATGTTTGTTTCGCTGACGCGGATTCGTCGGCCGTCTGTTCTTCAACAACCGAAATCATAAACCGTGGAGTATAGGAATTCATTCCTCATACAGTAAAAGTGCCTAAACCAGCGTCCAACGGATGGTTCAACAAAATCGTGTGACACTGCCCGCTAGCAGAAGATCAAGGTACACATAACGTTTTTACAAAATCCCACTGTAGAGACAGACAAGCCGACGTCGAGTCCAGAAAGAAAAATAACGAAGCGGTTCGCAATTCCAAAAACCGGCACGATATAACACAATGCACAATGGCAGTCGATCTTTCTGGACGCTGGCCAAGCAGATCGAAAGGAACTTCTCTCATAGTAGCCTTACACCACTTACGTGTCAGGATGAAACGATTGTAACCGACTCAAAGGCCAAGGCGGAAGTGCTTGCAAAGATCTGTATGGACTTCCCTCCAACGCGCAAGTACCGTCAATTCAAAGGGTTCCCTACACTGTGCGGGTAGTAACATTCAGGCATAAGACCGTAAGACAGGTGCTTTTGTCGCTCGACATCAGCAAAGCTTCTGGTCCGGATTCCTGCCATTGTACTGAAGAGGTGTGCAGCGGAGCTTGCTCCAGTTCTTTCGCGTCTCTTCCAGATATCTTATGAATCTGGCACTTCCAAGAAAACTGGAAATTTGCTCATGTCCAACCCATCCCAAAAAAAGGATCCTTACAACTACAGGCCTATAGCTCTGCTTTCTGTTATAAGTAAGGTGATGGAGAGGTGCATAAATCGCGGGCTACCTCGAACGTCACGGCTTGATTAGCGACAGGCAGTATGGTTTCCGGCACCAACTTTGGCCTCCCATTCCAACCGTGTTAAACTTTGAACATCCAGAACTGGCCGAGACGACCGCTCCTTTGTCCCGAGGGTGTCGAGATTATGTTCTACTAACCTTAGGCAGTTCAAAAATCGGATTAACAAAATTTCTTGGGATCTTCATAGCCGCCGCAGTGTCCCGGAATTTAATATTCTGCCTGCACGGTATTAAAAAAATAAAATAAAAATAAAAAGGAATGTTGGTAGTGTGCCTCAATTCTAAAAGCTTCTACATTGCTTCTTTACACTTTCTAATATCATAGTATAAGTAAACATGTTTATATTTTCAGCTAATGGTGACATAATTGTTTCTCTTCTTCCTGTAAATACTCAATGCCCATGGATCACACAAGTAAACATGTTTATTTTTTCAGCTAATGGTGATATAATTGTTACTCTTCTTCCTGTAAATACTCAATGCCCATGGATCACTCCTGCACAATTCCGTCCAGAACTCGTCCCTGAAGAACTAATGGCACAAGGATTAACTGTAAGTATAAGTAATCCTTGTCATATTTTTGAGCCTTTTCAATCCTAGAACTGACTGATGGAATTTCAGCCAAACCTCTTATGAATAGTAAATTTCGTCGGTCTCTGACTATCATGCGTACGTCAAGATAAACGCCCACTGAGGCGAAGAGAAGCGAAGCGATACATATGACACTAGACTCTTAGAGCAACCAGCAAAGGAATTCTCTTGCTCTCAGGCATGCAGTTTTCACATATACACATCAAATTTCCACGCGAACGTGGCCACGGTCAACAGCTATTTATCGGAAAAAGTCATTTAAAAAAAAACCATCGAGGAGGTTAAGTGTTATTTGGCAGAATTTGGTCGATCCCATATAATCTTTTTCTCGAATCCATTACATCTGGATTATCTAGTATATTTAAAAATTCCCCATATCGGCAAAGGACACATAATTCTGACGGATCCGTCAATTCCAGGTAGACGATACGGCGGTGCATACAGCCTCACCGGCACTATAACCTGCTTATCGTTCTGGTTCTGGAGTCCGATCACGTGAAGTGAGCGCGAATATGTTTGGCTTTAGTTTCTGTCTTCGATAAATGGACTTTAGTACAGCGTATGGTTGACTATCTTCAGGTAGAAAAATCAATCAATTGTTGTACTTAAAATATGGGTAGAACAAGCGCTGTTTTTTAACTTTGTGTGACTCTTGTAACTGCGAGGTCACATTACAGACATCTCTTCACATAGTTCACATGACATATTCTCATTAAATATGCATCATAAGATTTGTATGTGTGTCATTGTCGCTCTAATGTGCGTATCTAATTGCGGGCGCCATCAAAACACAATAATTTGGCGACCTTGAACACGGAATATACATAGGTACAAATTGAGATTATTTTCTCCAGCAGTATACGCGAGTATATGCAGTAGAAATGCAACTTTATTGTTATTATTCAGTGCACAAACATTTCCATATTCTGATAACGACGGATTGTAATACTAATGACTTTGTACAAAGGAATTGAGTGATCTCACAAACAGGTTGACATATGATAGCCGTTATTGTTTCACTTCCTTTCTAACATTTTAAATTTGTATGTACCTGTATTTGGCTCTCGTTGGGATCATCCAAATG